TAGGAGTCCAAAGTTGAGGAAAAACTGTTTTCGTCGCCGGAGCAAACCCAAAAGTCGTTGTTATTGGGCAGGACAATCTAGGCTCTATTGGGCCACGCCTTCTTCACCAAAAATCTCCCCTATACTGAAGCTAAAGGAATAACCCTAAAGAAAACGACTCGGCATGGTTGAGGCTAATTTCGAGTTTCCTTCCTCGGTCTACAACTCAACCCAAAACGCGATTCTTCCTTCGGTAGCTCGATTCGGGGCGTATTAGACCTCAGCTACTTCTTAAAACACAACTCATTTAGTACCCTCAAGCTAAATGATTCATTAAATTTTGAGTATTAAGGGCGGTAAAAAAGGATTCGAGTTTTAACCCAAATCTTACCTGATATCAAATTTCCTTGATTACTCATGCTCATGAGGTTGTCTCTCTCGCATCCTTCTTAAAAAATGATCATTAAGTGTGCAAAAATTGATTGCGATAGGTCTCATCCGGTGAATACATATGTAGCCTCGAATTGGATTCGATCTCTCCTTTGAGCCTTCAATGGCGAAGAGAATTGGGGGAATAGGATTGAGACATTTTTTAAGCTTCCTCCCTTCACCAAACTTATGGGTAATCTTACTTAGAAGGTGTAGAAATAAGTTTGAGGAGGAATGATGGACTGTAGCTCTCGAATTTGTGGTTAACCCGAGAACACAATGTCCAAAATCTAAACGCTCGATTCAGGACTTGATTAGGCTCGCTTCTTATTCCAATTAGTTGCCCCTCAATCATGATTTATAGGTGGATAATCCACCACCATTGAAATGTCCAAAATTGTCATAATTCTATTTTGAGTTTTTTTTTTTTTTTTTTTTTTTTTTTTTTTTTTTTTTTTTTTTTTTTTTTTTTTTTTTTGATCTTAAGCTAGAATTATCTACTCAGATCATAGCCTTGTCGTCCTTAGTTCTAAATTCTAGCCGTTGGATGGGTTATGTGTGAGTGTTATAGATTGTGTCCAATTTTGGAAGAGATCAAAAGGTTGAATTTCAGATTTGACGCATATGGTCACTGTGGAAACTCGTATTCTTGCCAATTATCCATATTTTTAAGGGCATTTTGGTAATTTGGCCATTTTTATTATTTTAAATTATTTTTTTTGAGCAACTTGAAATTCTTCCTTAATAAAATTTTAAAAATCGAGAATTTTGATAAAAATTAGAAAATTTTCACTCTTTTTTTTCCAATTTCTTCGTTCATTGCTTTCAAAACCTCTAGTAAGGCCTATACATGTCCTCTTTTTGGAAGCATTTGAGTTACTTTAGCGTCACACGACGGTGTTAAGCTTTCTTATTCGTCTTTGACATGGAGTTTTATTAGGTTCTTATGGGCGTCTAGGCAGTTTAAATCTCATCTCACATCTCCAAGATAGACTTGCTCCTCGAGATTAATCTCATTTCTAGGAGCACTAAGAGACCCCTAACTTATGATCCTAAGGTGTTCAGTCTATTAGAAACTTACTGACTTAGGTCAACGTGAAACCACCCTAGTTCTGGCGTCCTATTCTTATTCTAACCATAAGCTCAATAAAGAGATACCATCCATCAATCACTTAGAGCACAAATCACATCTCATTTTCCTTTCTACGTTAGGGGAAAGTATTAAAAACAACATACATCTCAAAATATCATTGTAGGGTCATTTTAATAATTTCTATAACATGCCGTGTATTTTCCTTCAAAATTATCCTTCTGAAGTCCTAATCATGCATATTCTAACAACCCAAAGTAAAATATGCATAAATACTAGCACGTTGGCCGCTCCTATAAGTAACACTTAAAGAAAGTCCAAATTGATACTTACATGGGCTGACACATGTCTCCATGAGATAACCTTTTTTTTTTTTTTTTTTCTTTCTTGAAATTTCTCTAGTGAGTCATAACTCAAACGAAAATAAGGTCAGAATCGAAATCGGAGTAAAAGCAAATGAACGAAGGTTAAAACAGTGAAAAGAGCCAACCTAATGCGCCCTCACAAACAGGTACACATACAAGTAATCCACACACTTGAGGGAGGAGTCATGGTGTTGACATCACACATGGGGAAGCAATTTGGATCCTAGGCATTCTAAGTACATCATTTTTATTAAATTAGTTAGCATGTCCAAAAGCATTAAAACTCAAGAAGATTAAGTACTACCTTTTGTAGTTCAAATTGAAGGGAATGAACTCTTCATCCACTTAGCGGAAGCAGTGGTAACCATTTTGATTTTTATTATGAATTAAAACAAAATCAATAAATATGAAAGTAAAAACTCTATCTTTGTAAAAACCTTAGCTTGCAAGTCCTTGAAGTTTTCCAACCATGCAAAAGTTCATCAACATTTTACGAGATCTTCTTTGCTATGACTCGAACCCAAGGTCAAAGCTTATGGGAGCCTCTTGAAAGAAAATCACTAAAGAATTTAGAGAAGAATAATCTCGAGAATTTTTTGGAAATATAATTTTATTTTCTAGAGAAAATGGAAGAAATTGATGCAGCTTATTTTGTCAAATAATATATTTACATATTTAATATATTGAGATATTATACCTTAGATAATCCTAATATATATTTAACTAATTTATATATTTTTATTTAATATATCAAAAATACATTAATTGATTTAATAGTTAAAATATATTTTTCCTTGAATATACCTAATATATTAAATATTAATTTCAACCTTCAAATTAATATATTTTTCTCCCTTTATATTTAACATATTAAATATATTAAATATTAATTTTAACACTTCAAATTAAATATATATTTTCTATTTATTTTCTCCTTTTATTTAATATATTAGATATATTAAATAACAATTTGATCCTTTCAAATTTTATTTCAAATAAATTGAACCTTTTAGTATTACTATGAGCTAATAAGGGACCTTATGGACCTATCGATTATAAGCTCCAATGATACAAAATTAATTAATTAAATTCTTTATTTAATCAATTTTCATTCATTAACTATATAGGTCACTCAAGTAGACCTAAAGTTGCACTCTTATGCATTGTAGGACAAGCTATGTCCATTAATATAATCATTACAAGCAAGTCGATCCTTCACGAGTTGTTCATAATTACAGCTGGGTCAAAAGTCTGTTTTACTCCTGTAATTACATCTTTCACCTTAAGTACCATTGATTCTCTAATGAACAATTTGTTTAGAATCCAATCATAAATCAAGTCCCTCTTGGGCCAATGAGAGGGTGGACCCCATTGTTTAAGTCTCGAAATCAGTACTTAAGAGAACAATTCATCGAAATGAGTGAATTCCATCTCATGATATTATGTTCCCAACTCCCTATTTGGTCAAGTCCCAAAATGGTAGGCATATTGAATCGGTAAAAGAGTCATTCTCACCCATGTAAATTAAAGGACAAGTCCTCACAAGCAGGAGTTCATAACTCACTCAGGATTAAGATTGAGTCGCATATGATCATCATGTGAAATATTAATCTTATCAATTAACGGATTTATAAAAAGAGATTAATTATTTCTTGGTTTAATCTTATACAAACTCATTGTATAAGATACCTCTACTTACATGTCTGCACATGAACGATTCGGATCAAATCATTTGTAACGATTACAAAGTGGGTCATATCAATAGTGTTACCAGGATAAGACACCCTACCTTATTCATATACTATAAACTCTTAGGTTATTACTTGAACACGAACACGATCCTCTTGTATGTCAACCACATGTTGTTCAAGATTACATTAATAACCTTGGATTTTCATACCATCGATAACAATTAAATTACAAATAAAATAATAAAAGGTATTGTTAAAAAACTAAATAAGTAATTACTCAGTTTTAAGGCATAAATCCCAACACCAATTCCTTTCTTATTTTAATTCTGTTTTCCTCAAGAATCGGTTTCGAACCACCACTAGTATCTTCCCTACTATTCTTCAACCTTAGAACGAGATTGTGGAAACCCGTGAATAACTTAAACTTGGAAAGAATTTAGTATATATGAAGAGATAGTTTCTTTTAGGGATTTTTTCAAAGTTTTTTCAAGAAACTTTCCATGTACCTATTACTCCATTTATAGAGTCATATTTGCATGATGATGCAAATTTGAGATTACCAAAGTTTGAGAGTCAAAATTATACTCAAATTTGTGGGGTTATTTGTCTGGTTAAATCATATATTGACATTCAATATTTCACTAATTCAATTAACGTTTTGACTTTCTATATTTTAATTCAACAATTAATTTTAGATTAAAATAATATTAAAAGATTAATTAAAAATTTTAATTAATATTTAACACATATTGATTATGAATCTCTATTCATAATTATTATATTTAAATCTTATTTGAATCCAATTTTCTCTTTTTGTTTAATTCGTAATTAAAACAAAATGCGGCTAAATATATGGTATATATTTAGCGCATATTCCCTAATTTGAATTCGAACACTTTGAACTCACTCGTCACACTGTTCTAAGGTTTAGTTTGATATGAGTTAGCAGGGGAACCTAATGAACCTACAGATCATGGGCTCCAACTATCCGAGATTAACTGGCTAAACTCATTAACCAACATTCGTTAACTACTAGGACACTCCACTATAGCCTAGTAGTTGTACTCCCCTCACTATAGATATATTTCTGTCCATTTGATATCACCACGATTAGTAAGTTGATTCTTCACAAGTTGTTCGTAACTAGAGCGGAGTCAATCTACTGTTTTACCCCTGAAGTTACATCTTGTTCCATAAGTCCCAAAAATCATCTAATAAACAATTGGTTTGTGGTCCAAGTACTAAACTAATCCCTCTTGGACCAATGAGAGAGTGAAGCTTCTTGTTCAAGAATTGGAGTTATTAGTTAAGAGAACAACTTCTCTACTATCCTTACTTACAAGCGTGTAGGCACTACAACAAATACCATCTTTTATAGCTTTTTTGTATAGCATTTTCTAAAAGGTGCTATAAATTAGAAAGAAAATAAAGGTTTTTTTTTTTTATTTTTTTATTTTTTAATGTTATCTCTCAAAACCTAATCACGCGTATAAAAAGCCTTCCTTTCTTTTTCTCTCCTCCTCTCTCTAGGCACCCATATTCTCTCAGACCCTCGTGCAAAACCAACTCTAGCCTTCTTTCTCTTGCGCAACAATCAATCCTTCCTTCTTTCGTGCCTCAAGATCCATCCTTCTTTCTTTCGTGCTTCAAAATTTGTCTCTATCAGATCTCAAGATGGGCCATTGAGAGGAGGCATACAGTTTATGGTTGGTGTCTTGTCTATGAAAAATCCTATTCTCCTACCTCACTGCAAATTGAACAATCCAAGATAGAGCAAGTTAGTTGTTGTTTTTTTTTTTCTCCCTTTTATCTTCTTTGTTGGCTCACTTTGTAAAGAATTTCATTGATGAATTATTCTAAGTGATTCGTGTCTGTGTCTTCCTTTTTAATTTCTTTTTGACTTTTGTTCTATGAGTTAGATTGAAGGATAGAACTACTACTAAATAATGCAGTTTTTCATTTATATTTAGTACACACTAATGAACTTTTGTGAGTTTGGTCCTTTGGTCCTTCATTAAGTAATGTACTTTACTTTTAAGTGTGTATTTTCCTAGCTGTAGAATTTTTCTTTGGATGTAGATTGGTGAGTTCTGTGAGGTAGATATAGTTGTTGTCTTGTGTTAAAAGGTTAATGTAGTTTTGTGAGTTAGATCCATGGAATAAAAACATAATACAAGAAACCATCTTTATTTTTCATTGTGTTTGTTCAATCAATACATGCCCTAATTGAGGAACCCCATGAAGATTACGAACAAAAAAAATAAGCCTAAGAGTACAAAGAAATTGAGTTTAGTGGAATTTGTTAATTCATAGGTTATTTCAAGCACATTCTTCGGGTAGGAATGATTTATGTTAACGGGTTACATATTCTGCAAGTATCAAGTAGTAGGAAGAAGTTTATACACGTATTAGTGGACTTCATATAAATTCCTTGAGCAAAATACCTATTGTATTATGTATAACTAAATTTTTGCGGCCTTGTTTTTTTTTTTTTTCTTTTACCCCTTTGATATATTAGGTCTCCTTCTCTCCTTCCTTGTGTATAACTTATTAATACATGATCGGCAAGATCACTCACTTTCACACAACAACAACAAGAACTTGTGTGGCCCTGTTGTTCCTATTACTGTTATTTTGCATTTAGGGCTTCCAACAACACATTCTTCTTCTTCTTATTTGATTTTGAGGATTTCTTCAACTGAGATCTTAGATAAATTAGAAGATCGGTTAGAAGAAGTTGTTCCTAATTAGAAGACTAGTTAGACTGATTTTGGTCTTTGACTTTTGTTTGCTAACTTTTCTCAAGAGAATTCATTAGTGTATGGTCATTTTCTTTGGTTAATAAATTTTTTTTGGTTGGCCTTACTAATCATGATATGGTTATTTAGAACCCTTCGAAATAGACCATCCAAGGTCAAAACCACTAGAAGACTTCAGTACAAATTAAAAAAGAAAACATGGAATCAATCCATTTATTTGTAAAAAATGTGGAAACACCTTTGCGATGAGAGGGGACTAGAATGAGAAGAGTTGTGGGAAGCTTTGACATTGCACTTGTGGCTCTAATTTTAATCCCAAAAGGTCTCTTAAATATCACATCAAAGCCTTTGGACATAGTTATTCAACTTATGGGGTTGTGATCACGAAGATGACGAGCCTGCTTCTGAGATTGGACATCTCATTAGCTTGTACTTGACAAATCTCTCCTAAAGGCCACAAAACATAGGTGCTAATTATATTAGTCCAGTGCTATACTTTCTCTTCAATGTCAATTTTTTTTTTAATGGTTCTGTTTGGTTTACCAAATGAGGACAGCACTTCATCAAGAAGGGCTATCTGAAAGGATTGGGTTTTATTACAAAGTCATGGTTTTCATCCAAGGGAATCAAAAAGCACAATGCTCTTTCTCTCCTCATAAACTTTTAGTGGACAATGCACTTCCTTTCAATTTTAATTGGAAGCTGTAATGCAAGTATTTGAACTAATGATTCTATTCTTTGTTTTATTGGAAGCTGAAACACAAGTATTTGAACTAATGTTTCTATTATCTATTTTTAAGAAACCTACTTCAAGAAGAAGGAAAAAAATGAAATGTGCTTACATATATAAGATGAACAATAATGTTCTATTCTCTTTTTTACTTTTATATGATATTTAGATTTTGTTGCTTTGGTGTTTGATAAAGGAAGAGCTTGAAATAGCGTGAAAAAGAAAGGAACAAGAAAAAACTCCAACATATGTCAAACCTTTTGGTAATATTTTGCACTTCTCTTCGAACCACTGATATATATGCTTCGATAATGTTGCAGGATTCCTTGAAAGCACTAATTGGCAAGCAACAACGACCAATTTATCAATTGACATCGCCTAGAGTCGGCCACAACGATGCAACTTAGGCTCTAATACCAAATTGATAAGACAACCCTAATCCTCAACCCAACAATCAAGCTTTTGTTGAAGCAAGGAAGCACTAATTGGCAAGCAGCAACGAACAATTTATCAATTGACATTGCTAAAAGGGTGGAACATAGAAGACATTGTTGTCGGTTTGAATACCTTTAGGATTGGTGGACTTGATTTTATCAAAATCAAAGATGTCACATATTGTGGATAGTGAGTTTTTGTCTATTTATTGTGTATTGGGTGGGGAAGAACTGATTTGAAAATTGTGATAGTGTAACGAGTCTAATATTCTTATATAGATCGAGTTGAATACTTTATTTTATAATGTGTTAGTAGATTATTAAATTTCAATTATATTTTTGTTATAGCATAAGATTAAAAGTATAAATATAGCTTATTAAAAATGAATGATTGCATAATATTTTAGTTATGTTTGCATATTATAACTTTAACAAAAATGCTCTAAAATGTTTTCATAGCATATAAGCTATATTTAGGTACTATATTATAACATTTTTTATAGTTATACAAAAATGCTATAAATAGTTTCAGACTTTTAATAACATGGGATGTCACGACGTACAAAAAACGCTATAAAAAGTCTATGATAGCATTTTTCGGAAGCTACCTAATCCAATATTTGTTGTAGTGAGGAGTGAATTCCATCTTGCACCTCAAGTCCCCAACTATTCACCCAGTCTTACTCCTGAAATGGGAGACTTATTGAGTCGGCAAACTCGGGCCACTCTTACCCATACAAATCTAATTTCGAATAAACATGAGTTCAAAGTTAGCTCAGGATTAAGATCGAGTTACCTAGGTCATCGAATGAAAAAATCAGTCTCAACAATAAACGACATTATAAACGGAGAGTGACTTTCTTCATGGTCCGATCTTATATGATACTCTTTGCATAGGATGCCCCCACTCTCATATCTCCACATGTACAATTCAGTGATCACATTGTTTATATCATATACAAAAGTGGGTCGCATCCATAGTGTCCCCAAGATAAGATACTCAGCCTTATCCAAGTAATATAGATCATTTTGACTATATACTTGAACTTGATCCACTTTTAGGTCTCTACATATAGTTCAAATATTCATACTATAGCCGGAATATTCTTAGTTTATTGAATTACTTTTAGGTCTCTACATATAGTTCAAATATTCATACTATAGCCGAAATATTCTTAGTTTATTGGATTTAGATTAATGATCGTGAAGTTCACTTAATTCAATAACAATCTTTTGTGAATAAACATCAATAATAACTTTATTTCAAATAGAATATGTTTTTATTTACCCATTATGAGTTTTAGGATATAAAACGCAACAAAGAGTACTTATGTTCTTAGTTTGATATGTGGCACATGATAACTTGTTACATTGACCCCACATTCTTGGGTTTAGATCTCGCGTGAATTTTTTTCAACAATTTTTTATCAGAATATTTTCCTAGTCTGACATGTGCCTACTCCTTAGTAGGCCGAGTTCATCCTTTCTTTGTCTGATACATGACCTTGCTCTTGCCTGATGCGATTGCTACCTGACGAGTGTCAACTTCTTCCTCGCACCCACATCAAAATTCAAATTTTCGCTATCTTTTCCATAAATTATTTTCATCCCAACTTGTCACTTCGACCCCACATTCGTGTTAAAACTTCTCGGGAAGTTTTTCCAACAATTTTTGGCATGCATCTTCTCGTTGTCTGACATGTGTCTACTCTCCAACCGGCAAAGTTCATCCTTCCTTTACTTGACACATGACCCTCTCCTTGCCTAATGCGATGGCCGCCTGACGTGTGTCAGTTCACAAGATTTTATTTTTACTTTAAAAATATTAGATTTATAGTAAACCTACTTATATGTTTAGCTGTAGTTTTACGTGCCATTATATGATTTACTGTGCATGTTGGAGTCCCACATTAGTTTATTAACAGGGAGATCATAGGTATATAATGTTAGGTTATAAAGTTTGGTGCTTATTTATAGCATGCTCAATGATAATATATATTAAAGTTATATATCCTAAATACATATATAGTAAACCACTATATACGGTAAAAGACTATATATAATAGATAGTTATATATAGTAGATAAATGCTAAAGGTAAATATAGTAAATTGAACCATCCTCATTATGCAATGTATTGATAATACGCCATTCTATACATAGTTGAAGTCATTAATATAAACCTCTAACTAATATCTCTCCTTACATGTTCTCTCTCCTGTTTTTTGTGTTCATCTATATCGAGTGTGTGTGTTGTGTGACTGTAACATATAAGCTGAAGGGAATAAACTCTTCATCCACGTAGTGGAAGCATTGAGAACCGTTTTGATTTTATTAAGAATTAAAAGAAAAGCAATAAATTCAAGAGTAAGAACTCTATAGAAACCCTAGTTTGCAACACTCCTTGAAGTATTCCAACCATGCAAAAGCTCTTCAACATTCCACGAGATCTTCCTTGCTATGACTCGAACACAAGGTCATGGCTTATGGGAGCCTCTTGAAAGAAAATCCCTAAGGGATAAGAGAAGAATATTTTGGAGAATTCTTTGTAGATGTAATTTTATTCTCTAGAGAGAGTGGGAGAGATTCGTATGTTTTTGCCTCAACCACAAGAATTTTTGCCAAATAATATATTTGCATACTTAATATGTTAGGATATAATATCTTATACAAATCATATTTAAATATTACAATATATCCTAATATATATTTAACTAATTTGAATCTCATTCAAATTTCAAATATATTTTTATTTAATATATCAAAATACAGATTTGATATTTAATGGTATCAAATACAATAAATATAATCTCCAATGATATAAAATTAATTAATTAAACTCTTTAATTAATCAATTTTCATTCATTAACTATAGGTCACTCCACTATAGATCGAGAGTTCATTCTTATGCACTGTAGGACAAGTTATGTCCATTGATATAACCATTACAAGCAATTCAATCCTTCACGAGTTGTTCATAATTACAACTAAGTCAAAAGTCCCCTTTACCCCTATAATTACATCTTTCACATTAATTACCATTGATTCTCTAATAAACAATTTGTTTATGATCCAATCATAAACCAAGTCCCTCTTGGACCACTTGAGTCAATGAGAGGGTGGGGCTTATTGTTTAAGTCCCGAAATCAATATTATGTTCGCAAGTCTCTATTTGGTAAGTCACCAAAATTGTAGGCATATTGAATCGGCTAAAAGAGTCATTCTCATTCATGTAAATTAAAGGACAAGCCCTCACAGGCACGTGTTCATAACTCACTCAGGATTAAAATCGAGTCGCATATGATTATCATGTAAAATATTATCTTCTCAATTAACAGATTTATAAAGAAAGATTAAATATTTCTGGGTAGTTTTATACAAATTCATTTTATAGGATACCCCACTTACATGACTCCACATGAACGATTTGGATCAAATCATTTGTAAAGATTACAAACTGGGCCGTATCAATAATGTTACCCGGATACGACACCCAACCTTATCCATATACTATAGACTCTTTAAATTATTACTTGAACACGATTCTCTTGTATGTCAACCACAAACGGTTCAAGATTACATTAATAATCTTGGATTTTCATAACCTCGATAACAATTAAATTTTAAATAAAATAATAAAATAATTGTTAAAAACTAAATAATTAATTACTCGGTTTTAGGGCATAAATCCCAATCTAAGCCATGGACACTATCTCCATTTGTATAAGATTTTTTGAGGAAACCAAAAGGAAAGCCATAAAAACTTATGTTTAAAGCGGATAATATCATACCAATATAGAGGGTTGATGTTCCTACATTGCATTCATATAATTTTTGTTTGTTCACGAAACGTGTGCATTCGCTTTGCGTAATGCTCAAATGACCTTTATCATCCTTCAAAACATGTCATAGACGGTGAAAGGTACTTAAATTGACATCGACCTCTATGTATTTATAGGTGCTACAATGAAGTTGTCATGCAAGAATACCAAGATACGTTCTGTTGATGGAAATGGCCACCACTGACAAAAACGACTACTTTCGGTTGCTAATACCGAAGAATGTAACGAGACACGACCAGTGCAAGGTTTATTCGGAGAAGTCGCAAGACAATAGTTGCATTAAGCCATCGAATCTGAATGACGATGTGGATGGGGCAAAGTTGAAGCCTGCGAGGGCGCATTCATGGACGCCGAAAAGAAACATTTTGTACATTACAATGTTCGATCATTAGATTTTGAACCTACCTGTCCACATTGAACGTACGATGAGGTTAATATTGTAATAGTTAGAGCTTTTGAAGATATGATGTTTTGAATTATTGCTCTTTATTAGGTTCTTATATTATGGACAAAAACGTATAGTTTTATCAAATAAGAGAAGAAAAAACATCAGCTTTCTAGAGAGAATTTACATTTTCCCTCCCCAGCTTCCTTTCTCCATCAATATAGTTATCATTATTTTGCTTCATTAATTAAAAGTTGTGACACTAATTCAAGTTTAGAGTAGGTCCCACGTTATTTAAAACTTTCAGTCGGTTATAGTGTGTGCGATCAAAAATGAGGAATCATTGAAACAAAAAAACGCAATTCAAATGAGTACATTCAAAGTGCGTTATTAGATTTTTTATTTTTTTATTTATAGTTAGATAAGTACATTCTATACCAGTTTGATTGGTTTATGTTTCGGATTGAATCGATCTAACAAGCTTAATTTTATTGTTAATTTAAAAAAAAAAATACTTACAATACAATTAAACATACTTGTGTGTTTCGCGGTCGTTTTATGTATCATTACATGATTTACATTGCACGTTGGATTCCACATTAGCGGATAAGGAGGAGGATCATAGGTATATAATGTTAAGTTATATAATTTGCAGCTTATTTATAGCATAATGAATAATAATATATATTAATGTTATATTTTACATTAGACATCGTGAAGAATTATATACAGTAAAAACTATATATGGTAGATAGCTATATATATATATAGTAGATGATTATATGTGGTAAAGTTATATATATTAAACTGAATCGTTCTCATTAGACTGTTTTGAAAATGTCTTGTTAGCGGAAGTTGTTAATATAAACCTCTCACCAATAATTCTCCTTATATTTCCTCTCTCATGTTCTTTGTGTTCATCTACCTCGAGTATGTGTTGTTGTGTAGATTCTAACATAAAAGAGATGGACACTATCTCCCTTGGCATGAGATCTTTTGAGGAAACTAAAAAGAAAGCCATAAAAACTTATGTTCAAAGTGGATGGTATCATACATTTTCGTGATTGTTCATATCCTTGCACTCATATATTTTTGTTTGTTCACACTTTTTGTGATTGTTC